AAGTCCTGGGGTAGAATCAAGTTCTTGTTGGCTTACTGAAGATTGCACAGGAATAAACAATATGCCTGATTGGAGACTATTGAAAAGCATGTCAGTTTACAGTCATACATGTGGTGCTTTTAGAATAAAAATGCACTATATAGTTACATTGAAAGGGCCAATGACAGCTGTGAATCATGTCTGAATCTAAAATATTATTTAATTTGACGCAAAGGCAAATCCATCTTTTAATGCATAATTGAAAAATACACTTTAGATTTAATCACATTTTGACAAAAATTAAAAGCTGCTGCTTCATAGTCATTTCCAAGGTTAGAAGTTAAACTCAAACCATGCTGCTCTGTAGGAAGTATCCTCAACGAAGCCCATATTTTGGAAGAGTTTATAGGACACCATGTTGTCTTCCTCTATGAAACAATAAACCTGGTAGCCATCTGCATGGAGCTTTTTGGCCATGGTGCTGATCAAAACTTTGGCATAACCTTTTTCTCTGTGCTCGGGAAGCGTGTACAACATTCCCAAAGCGCAGTATTCATACACCAGGATCCAGGCCACAGGTACACCATAAGTGTCCAATATGCAGCAGGTTGGAAAGTTGCTAATAATGTTTTTAAAGTGCCTGTAACCCTTCTCATCCCCACCAAACTTCCAGGTTTTATTCACCATGTCAATGTGGGAGAGGCTGAGAGATGAAATCCTTGATTCAAGTTGACTGTTTGGGAAAAAAGAGAAAACAAAGTTAAAGTTTTCTTATTTTATTATATTGAGCTGTGATGAACTGGCGACCTGTCCAGGGTGCACCCTTCCTCTCACCTGAAACGTTCACTAAAGATAGGCAACAGCACCCCTCCTGACCCCACTATGGATGAGGGTGTAAGAAAATGCATGGATGGATAATACTGAGTTAATTGTATTTTGAAGCATACCTGTCAACATCTGGTGCACGTAGATGGCTGATGTCTGGAAGATACATAAGATGCACCAAGGTGAAGCTCCTGTTGTTCACTCTTTTTTCTGAAGAAACTTCTTTGAGTGTGGGCACATGGGAAATATCAAATCCTAAGGGGAAAAAAAATCTTTAAATATTCTCTTCTTATCTTGCTGCTTCAGTTCAAAATAGCAAAAAAGCACAGAGAAAATGAATAAGAGCGGTTTGATAAGTTCCTTCTTTAGCTAGTAAAATTATGCTACTGAAGTTATGTATAGTATACTGAAAGTTCATCAAACTGTATGCTGCACTCTGCAGGATTTTATCTGAAATAATGACAACAGCTGTTGATTTTCAGCATAACTGACCTCCAATTAGGAAATAAGTGCTCCAGTCAACTTCTTCGCTCAACAGTTTCCTTAAAACTTCCTCATCTGTGCTAAAGAACGACACCCTCTTCATGAAGTCCTCGGATCGCTTGTTCTATTTTAACAACCAAAAGTGCAACATTCCATTAATAATAAATCATTTAAAAATATTTAGAAATATGTGATAAATATAATACAGTAAGACATGTACATTGAATGAATAAACAAATGTATCTATGATTATATGATATTTAGTGTTTTAATAAATTATACTTAAATAATAAAATGCAGAAATTAACATTTTAGCTTTAAATATTCATGTTGTAATAATAATAATAATAATAATAATAATAATAATAATAGGCAAATAGTAATAACACATAATTTCAGATTATTATGATTTTATTTACATTATTACATATATGAATATTTCTTTGTGGCTCTTTTGATCCACGATAATAATGTTAATGTAAAATTATGCAAATCAGTGATACCACTTTTTACAGCGTTTCCACATTCGCGCTGGCCGTGAACTCACCTTAGGATCCGGGCGCAAAAGGATCACTTTAAATTCTGGCCACGAATCAACAACAACTTCCGCAGTGCTCGTTTTGTTCCTATTACAAGTGTAGAGGGAACCGTAAACCTGAAAACAATCAAAACAGCGGTGATGTTTTTCTTTTTTTCTTTTTTTAAAGCAGAAAAGTACCACTAATAAAGGGTACCTTATAACTCCTCGGGAAATGTTTAAGCAAAACTCCCTCAGCGATCTGAAGCTCGTCTTTATTTAGCACCTTCATGTCTGGTTTACGTGTAGCTTGTTTTTCAATTTCTATGGCGAGTCTCAGGTTGAAAACCCTTGATGAACTCGATGCTTCAGCTTTTTATATGCGTATATAAACAAATGATTAACAACCGGTTCATGTTTTTTTCAAGTTGTGGAGTTTAAACAACTTCCTGTTTTAAGTTTTGTAAAATAAAAGCCTTTTGAATTTTTTTTTTGTTTTGTTTTGTTTGTTTGTTTAGCGTTAGTCTGGCATAAAATGCCTTCCTTCTTGCCACTTGCTCATAAATGTAGCATGCATGACTCATTTGTAGAGTGAATGAGTCATGCTACATTTGATCTGTTTTGAAGCCGTTTTGAGTACTAAACTCAAACGAGTTTAGTACTCTCTACCAGCAGAAAATAATGAGATTAACTGTTTGCCATGAACAATACAAGCCCAATCACAATGTATTACTCTCTGTTAGAAGTTTTCAAACACAAAAAGAAAATGTTCACGAATAGATATTTAACAGTATGTGTGCGATTGGGTTAATAAGATGCAAACTGTCAGAAGTAAAGGCTTATAACATATATATGAGTCAGCCATATTGGGTATAAAACTCGTGACTGCTGGCAAACTCTAGTTTTACCAAACAGAATTCCAACTTCAAGGAAATTGTTATGGTTTTTCCATCTGGTAACACTGAAAATGCACCATAAAAAGTGTCAGCCAGGCAGATTTTTGAGTCATGGATTTGTCCATATCTTAATTTTTCCACAACTTTATCTCTGACCTACCCAGAGCGTTTCTTGGTCTTCATGATACTGTTTGTTCAATCTCTTTCCTTCCACTTATCACACTGTCTAATTTGCTGGTCTATCACACGAAATCCAAATAAACACATTGGAGTTTATGGTTGTAATGTTACCAAATGTGAAAAGAAGTCTGATGAATACTTTCGTAAGACTGCGTACTGAATTGTTTACTCCCCAGGCAGTTTCACAATCATTTACACCACAAAAAACACCTTATGTATTTGTTTGTTAAGAATAACTGCACAGCAACCCAAATGACTCACAGAATGAACAGCTGGGTCAGAGGATCATGCGACCTTAATCATGCTATTAGTGAGATTGTTCTAAACAAATAACTCCCAGTGCATGATGAGAACTGAAGAAACATTTTGGATAAGAGGTCAAATGTCCTAAAAAAAAAAACCAAGAGTTCCAGGTGACTTTATACTTAGAACTTGACATCTACACAATGAATGGTTCTCTTTATAAAAATGTAACCTTACAAAGAAAGCCTTTTTATTAAAAAGATAGACACTAATCTACTGCACTAAAACTTAAGCTTGTGAAGAATTGTTTTCTCAGCAGTTGGCAAACAAACAAAAATGGTTCTGCTGTCCTTTTACAACATATTCAGCTTAGCTCTGGCAGATCAATAAAGTTAAAACCAAAAGCACTGTCCAATCGCCTCCGACTAATTGTACTAATGAAGTGCCTGGTAAGTGTATGCCTTTACTGGATTTTGTAAGTAACGGTAGACCACATTTTCCATTCTTAATAATTAACTGCAGCCCTTTTGCGATGACATTGCCATTTAACATGCAGAAAGTCTGACAGATACCTAATAATAAACTAATTTGTGAAGCAAAAGAGGAAGATGTATTTTCATGGAGACTTTCAAAAACAATCCAAGAGGAACTTTATTTCAAAAGAATTTGATGATGTTTTCCATGCCGCATTACTGTGCAACGTTATGTGTACAGTGCAAATAAAGAATATATTTATAATAATTACATTTAGACATTTATAAAAGTTCCAAAGCAACTTTATAACTGTGTGGGGTTTACAAGTTAATCAAACAATTTAATGCTTTATTTAATTCTTCATGTTGGTTCTATAGTAAGTTTTTTAAAAACAGAAATTCAATGAGGTGAGAAACAGAAAGTAATATAGGAAAGATTTCCTGCGATGGGTATGTTAATTAATCTAAAAGAAATGTGTTAGATGAAGTTTGCTCAACAAACAGTGCTGAGAAGTTTCCTTTCTAGCATTTCTCTTCCACCATCTCGATGTCATTGAGCCATGGGCGGCTCCACACGGTGAATTTGCACTGGTAAGTCTAAAAAAAACACACAAAAAAACAAAGCCCAGAATGAGAATGAGTAATACAATCATTTTAGCTTAGTGACATCATTTGTACACTTCCCAATGCAGACAAAGGGAGTGGCCTTGCAGGCTCATCAGCAAGATTTACCGGAGCATCAGCTGGCAGGCTTTTGACGTCGCACACTTGATTAAAAGTGTTCTTTCTGCAGGAGGTCTTTACCATCTTCACAGTTAGGATGTACTTCAAGCCTGCGACCACCTTAAAAGAGAAGTAAAAATAAAGTCGGCAGACAAAAAAACAAAGCTATATAGCTCAGACGCTTTACTACTGTTTTAGAGACCCAATTTTCAAGCAGTTAAAAGGCATTGTTTACGGGTGCTATGTTAGTGGTATCCTGTAATAATCTTCTTATCGGATTTGAATAAAATAAATACAAACATTTCAAAGTATTAAAAGATAACATACCTGAACCTGAGCCTTGACCACTTCAGCTGCTTGACGGAGGAACATGTCGTTGTTTCTTCTGTTGTGTTGGACAACAGCGAAGTTCAGCGCATTTTGGACACCGTCATTGTGGATGTCTATATCTGTCGCGCCACCAACCAAAGACCCCTCCACAGCTGCAAGAGCTGAAAGTAAAACAAAAGCAATCTTCCACATCGTTGTTATGCGTGCCGTGCGGTAGAAGGGAAATAGGAAAGCACTGGCGGAAAGTCTTTACTGTTATGTAAACAAGACCCGCCCTGAACATGAATTATAGGCAGAGGACGCAGCCAATCAACAGTCTCTCTGCGACACAAATCCCGCCTCCCTATCACATCCTGGTTATTACATTGTTTTGATTTTGCATTTTCCGCTTCCGCTTTCGCAGCGCTAAAGTGTATTAAACCATGATAAAAAATTAAAAAAAAACCCGACCAGAGTCGACTGAATCTGTATTACAAATAATAATAATAATAATAATAATAATAATAATAATAATAATAATAATAATAATGATAATAATAATTAAAATGCATACAATTATTATCAATATAATATAATAAACATATACAATATGATTTTTAATATTGTATGGTTCGTTCTTTGTTTTGTTTTGTTTTTTTCATTTCAAAATAAAATTGCAAAAACAAAACAAGCATGTGTTTTTTTTTTGTTTGTTTTTAAAACGAAATTAGAAAAACGGCAATTGCAAAAATAATAAAGAAAACAAGCTGTTAATTTCGATTTTCATTATTTCATTATTGACGAGCGGTCTGACCCGGAAGTTCTCTCTGTCCGGCTTACACAGGGGCCGTATCATCGCGTATCATAACGAAGCTGAAGTTGGTTTCCAATTCTAGCTTCCATCGTTAAAGGGCGATTTCACCTAATTTGTCACTACCTTCCACATCTTTAATCGACTCTAGTTTAAAAACTACTGCACCGAGACACTTGAAACTTGGACTGGATTATTCTCCTCTTCAAGCTGAATATTTAAAACCTTGTTTGGGATTTGTGAAACATTTTTCTGATTTGTGAAAACTCAATAAAGTTCGATTTTCACCATATTTTTGTATCTCTTTCATACCAGAACTGCTCTCATTAAAAAAATTACTACACACAGGCACTTCAAATCTGGACTAGATTATTCTCCTCTTCAAGAAGAATCTTTATAACCATGTTTGGGATTTGTGAAACCTTTTCCTGATTTGTGGAAACTTGATAAAGTTTGATTTTCACCATTTTTGTGCACCTGGATCACCATAGACCTGCTCCAATTAAAAAACTACAACTCCTAGACACTTCAAACCTGGACTAGATAATTCTCCTCTTCAAGAAATTCTGTGGTTTAACGCCTCACAATATCTTTTCACATTTTTATAAGTGACGCATGGCTGTCCAATTAGAAATGAAAATCTTTGTCCCCTTAATGAGACTATTTATCCATCCATCCATTTTCTTCCGCTTATCCGGGGTCGGGTAGCGTAGACAGCAGCTTCTGAAGGGAGGCCCAGACTTCCCTCTCCCCAGCCACTTGTTCCAGCTCCTCTGGGGGAAACCCAAGGCGTTCCCAGGCCAGCCGAGAAACATAGTCCCTCCAGCGTGTCCTATTTATTATAACTTATTAGAGTCAACTCATCAATAATGAAATAATGAAATGTTTAAAGTAATTTTGATCAATTTGATCAACATGTTTTTTGAATGGTAAGTAATTGAGAAGCGGAGATAATAATAATAACATTAAATCCATAAGTTGTTTAGATGTAATGTTTTACTGCAATTATGTGTAGTATTGTAAATTATATATTAAAACTGTTACAGTGAAGAAAACTCAAACAAATGTATCATGGACCCCGGAAGTAAAACATTTTTTGTTTGATTTTTCATAGTGAAAGCTCAGCCACAAGAGGTAGCAAAATGATCATGATAGTCGCGAAATTAACTAGATGTACTAAAGAAAGTTGTAAGCCCCTCTAACATATTCTAATGTCTGTGGTGAAACCTTTAAGCTTTTCCAACCTATGAAAAACAAAAACTGTTGTTCAGTTGTGGTTGAATATTTCACAGCTCTCTCTAATTGCCTGTTTAAAATTGCTAACTTTTAAGCTTATTCCACAAATTTAGAATAGTTGAGCTTTATCTTTGTCCATCTACTTTGTCTTAGATCACTTTCTGTTGAAACACCCAGCTGTGTCAAAACTTCAACTGTCGAGCTGTTTTATCCATAGTGCACTGTGCAAGTTTGAACATAAAACCAGTTTTAGGAGAAAATTTCAAGCAAGCTTGAATATGTTCTTTTTGGTGGGTTTGCATAGTCCATAGAAATGTAAAACTGGCTTACTGTGGAAAGCAGGATTCAAGGATTTCTTAAAAGTGTCTGTTTTTGTTACACTTTCCAGTTCATGGCTACAGAGTAAGATTACAGGACACTAAATAACAAAAAAACTAGAAAATTCCTTGAGAAATTTAACCGGGGCATGCCAAAGTGTGCCCGTCGGCTTGGACCCAGCGTTCTGATGCTAAAAATTAGCATTGATGCTAAAGAAAGCTGCAATGTAGTCAATAACCTGTGGAGAGGCAGAAGCATGTTGACAAAGCTGTACTTGTACCATTCATTATGTTAAAATGAATACATAATCTAAAATTAGCCAAAGTGCTAATATTAGCATGAAGGCTATCAGTATCATGTGGAGCATCACTAGCATGTTGTCTGTTATTGACTTACTTCATTCAGTATACTAAACTAATATGCTAATATGCTAATATGTTACTTTAGGTAAAAGGCTTTATATTTTAGGTAAAAGGATAATGCTAATGCCCTTGCATTAGTTAAGGGCAGTGAAATGCTAACGTTTGTGCTAATGTTAATGAACTGCCTTGCTGTTCACTATCCTGAGACAAAAAACGTAAAAAAAAGCCTAATATTTTTGCACCACCTATGGCGGTGCACTGATGTGAGAGGGATGTGCAGGTTTTTTTTTTTTTTTTCACTTTCAGTAAGATTCATTTTAATAACCACACTAATTCAATGTGTAACAGTGGTTTGTTTAAACCAGTCACATAGAGACCAAAGGAGCAATTACCTGATGTAAAAATTGTCAGGGCTTTTATTTTGAAATTTCAGTAAACTTCATTTTAAATGGCCACACTAATCCAATGTGTAACAGTTGTTTGGTTAATCCAGCTATATAATGCTCAAAACAGCAAGTAGTTCTAAATCCCAGCTCAGCCCTCCTCTGTAATAATTGAGTGTTCCACCATGTTGTAGTTCTGACCTTCTGCTCTGCCCTCTGTATTAAAGTGTTCCGCCATGTTTAGAACTACAGAGTCTTTGTAGTCCAAACCAGCCGTTCTGCCTTTCTCTGTATTCTGTTGCTATAGTGATTAAGCCTCTGCTAACTGTCGTGTGTGTGAGACAGAAAGGTGGAGAAGGATTTCTATCTTTATGAGACACCCAGTCAGTTTTGATGAAAAAAGCAGTCCGAACAACTGCTTCCCCTTCAGGATCCGTAAGGCCGATCCAAAAACAGTTTGAAGCATATGAGAGGGCTATTTGTTGTCTCCAATAGTCCCGCGATTCATATCTATGTGTCACTCACAGAAATAGCAGCAATGAGAGAAAAATGGTGTGCGCTGAGCTCAGAAATTTTTCAGAAAAGTCTGAAAATTAATGGCTGAGTGCCTGAGGTTACCCTGTCACATGATTTCACTCTGAAGCACCTTGACAGAAAACCGTAAGCCCTAGGGAAATTTTGAAAACATTTTACCGGAGCAGGCATTCGTATCAATGTCATGACCGACTTTCATACCAATAGAGCATTTTTTGTAGGCATGAGCGCGATTTCAAAATTGTTTTGGGGTCAAAAATCCACTAATTTTCTCACTCTAAAAAAGCGGCAGTTGGTGTCAGTTACAGTCTGCGTTTCGGCAGTTGGAAATTTAGCTCGTTTTTCGCTTTTTACGTCGCCATCGTAACTCCGATCCCCAAT